CAGGGCTGAAGCAAACTGATGTTTCCCACAGTCACAAAAACAAAAAAACCAAACCAGTATCTTTGTCAGATATTTAGCAGCACCACAAGTTAACTTCATGTGAAGGTGACTCTGCAGTTTCTTTAGTTTCACCATTCCAGAATGAAAAGAGTAGCTTGAATTATGGTTAAACCTTCAAAATAGACTCCAAGGCTGAGGTACCAACGTAGCCATCAATCCTCTAACTTAAAACATGGATTATCTAGCATGCTTTCTCACCTTTCTGACAATTATATTCTATCTTCCCAACCACTTTTTGCTCCTCCCACAAATCTCTTTTTTTTTTTTTTTTTGAGAAAAAGACTGATGCAAAGGGGAAGCTCAGAAGGAAAATAAGTATGTTTTATACACGAGTATGTGAACCATACCAAAGCACTCCACTGCCCAGCACTTTTCTTTTTAAGTTAATTTTGAAAAGAAAAAAACACCACATGACTGTTTCACAGAGGAAACAAACTATTAGATACCCGTTTCAAGGAAAGCAAGGATTTTTGAGTCTTACTATTCCACTCCAAAGTCTTCCCACCCAGATCAAACCTTGAACTAATTTATTTGGTCAATGAGAAGTGTGAATTCCATGAAAAATTTCCTATGGAAGTTTTACGTGCTGGATATTCTTGTAACAGATGGACACCCAAAGAGCTGGCAACTCCCACTGTGCTCCAACCCTCCGGCCCACTTTATGCTTCGGAATTACTGTGAGGACAACCACACTGACTGACAAAAGTGGTCCTATGAGTTACATGATTTACACTGACAAAAACTTCAGCACCCATCCTAAGGTACCAGTGTACATAAATGTCCCTATCTGACCCTTCCTCCAATAGCCAAAGACTGTTTTTCATTTCTGAACAGTTTAACTACACTAATCTAATTAAGGTCAGCACAAATAGCAGTCGTGATCAAATTCACAACTGCAATTGAAGTTGCTATTTGTTTGTTCTTTACAGTGAAAAGTGAACTAACCCACTGCGAGAGCAACTCTCTTCAAAGCCCTACCTCCTCAGGTCATTAACATGACTCGAGTGACTACAACCAAGTGACTACCTGGGGACTGACTACCTGCCCCTGGTTAAACACAACAAATAGAAAAATGACAACAAAAAGCAGTAGAAATTATTTTCCCTTATTTGTAACAGAACCTGACCTATGTTGCTGCATCACTTTTATCAATTCACATGCAGTTACCTTTTCAAAGAATTTGTTGGGTTTGGGTTTTTTCTTCCATGGAATTTTTTCTATATGCCAATGACACTTTGTGGAAAAATTCTGAACTGCATTTAGGAAGAGAGCTAAAACTTGTTTGTGGGTTTAACTCCCACATATCCTCCCTTCATATCCTTCCACTGAAAACAGACCGATGGTGCACTAAACCAGGCTTTGGTAGAAGCTTTCCTAAGGGAGGATCTAAGAGGGAAAAGCCAGATGGGTTGCTTACATAACCTACCTACATATACACACTTAGTACTCTACAGGTAGCATAAACTCACCTTGTTAAAAAACAGCAGGAGGAAAGAAAACAGAATCACACAGAACAGCCTTCAATTGCTTTGAGACATGTTAAGAACTGCATCTGGTAGATAGCTTTATCTTGCAGTTAGTCTTTTATAAAATTATCCAATGCATGTACTTACATATGAGTATACTATAATAATTTCAAGTATTTTTTCTCCTTGTTAGAAAGGGAAAAAAAAAACACCAACAAATGCAATATACGATCCTACTCTAGTTTAAACTAATGGCAAAATCCCTAATGATTCTGAGAGATACAAAATAAGCCCATGAATGCTGCCAAAAGCATCACACATTAGCACAATTATGACTTACCTAATAATAAATGAATAAATAAATAAGGGGGAAGATGGAAAACCTTTTCAAGTTGTAAAAGTTCCAAGACCAATGCTCTATTCTTCTTAAAAGAAACTCGGGAAAGGTCAGTGTGAAGCGCTGATGAAGTTTCCCTCCCAGTTTCACTCGACAAAATTAGCTCAACTATTAAGAATGGCTTTTAAAATTCCCATCGTGTACATCATTCTTCAGCAAGATATCCAACACAAACATAAAAGACAGCAAAACAACTCTGAGAAATACATTTATTGATTAAAAAAAAAAAAAAAAAAAATCAGATAAATAAAAGACGAAACCGTGAAAGATTGCTTTGTACATAATGTTTTACTTTACATTTTAAAATCTTAGTTAATGAGTTGCAAATCCCATTGCATGCTTAAAATACTCAAAATCCTCCACTATTTTTGACAGCTAAAAGACATGAGGCCTAAAAATGATCAGCACTGTCCAACAAGTGACAGTTCAGTGTCTCAGGATCAGATGAAAGTTTGAGAATTACTAAAAAAAAAGGTAACAAAGACAACAACAGAAATAAACAAGTACATAAAATGGAAGCTTCCTTATTCTGTTATTTTAAAGAAGCATTATTACACAGTAAATTATTTCCCGGGTGCAAACTACGTCACCTTCATTCTATACAGCCCATTCCTGCAGCTCCACCGCTGCTCTGCAAGTTTGCAACAATACTGACTTGTCTTTGCAGTAACAAATAATGCAGTTGCTCTTATACTTTTCGTAGCTGGTTTCAAAACCCAAGCAGAAAACTACTGCAGAACTGAAAAACAGCACTGCCACTAAAGGTATGGAAAGTAGACAGAGAAAAAAAAAAAGCCTGCCTTATTAGATCTACCTGTGGCTAACTGAATCATTGCCTTTCACGTGGAACATAAAGCTTTTTTAGCTAGTAATGTGGGGGACTCCATAACGTCTGTCTCCATCGGTACTGATGCAGAATTGGAGCCCTAGTCTCCTTTTATGTGATGTATTGGTAGTGAAAAAGCTATGAAAACCCATCCTTAAAATTGAGACATTACTCCTTACGTACACAAAATTAACTCCAAGAGCAGCGAATCAAATGATTACAAAAACATTCACTAAATGTTCAAATAAAAACAGGTGCAACATATTTACGTACAAGTGAAAGTGCTTCTTTGTTATCGACTGGGAACTCTGCATGTTACATCAAGAAGAGATCAGATAAGTTTTGCAAAAGAGGAATTATGTAACGTACAATATGGTCGCATCACCTCTAATTCCAAGGAAACGTTCTTGTTAAACACACAAGGAGGGAAGGGAGGAGTTTTTCCCTCCCATTTTTTTTTAATGGAATATGTGAAGTTTACAGCTGACAGCTGAGAAAGAGGCTCTTTTAAGACATAGTACATTCACCGACCAGGTTTACAACTCAATCCAAGAGTACATCCAGTCAAAAATCAGGCACTGTAAGAGGACAAAGCTTAAAAAAGAAGGTTAATTGAAAAGCAAATATTAAGGAGATATTCAAACACGATCTGATATCCCTACAAGCTGCTCTTCGCAGGCTTTGCCCACCATTACAACCAGCATCACCCACCTGTTTGTTTACTCGTTCTTGGAAGTAGGAATAAGGCAAACAAGCAGCATGAGGAAGCAGTACACAGAAGAGATTGAGCAGGCCCCGCAATAAATGCTGACCACCGCACTTCAGAATAAGAGGTCGAAGTCAAACATCACCTCTTTTCGCAGGCAGGAGGAGAGGCAACAAGCAGCGAGGGCATATTCTTTCTACACAGACACGCTATGGTACGGAACGGGGAGGGGAGAGTCCTTCCGTCATTACAACATGCGGAGCCGGCGCCGCCGCGAGGAGGGCACAGCCGGGCCGGCACCCATCGTCGGGCACGGCCTCCGCCCAAACCGCCCCGCACCGCCTGCCCTGCGCGAGCTGGGGGAGCGAGGCGGAGCTGAGAGCTTTCGGGACGCGACGCGACGCGGAGCTCCCCGAGTTCAGGGGGACGTCGCATCGGCGCGGCCGGAGAGCCCGGGGCACGTGTTGTGACGGGGAAATAAAGGAACGGAGGAGCGGCTCGCGATCCTCCCACAGAGCCCCGAGGCACCGAAACGGGCGGACAGAGAAAGCGGAGCGAGCCCCCGGCCCCGCGGGCCGCCGTTTACCTGGAAGTCGGCCAGGATCATCTCTCTGTCCATGTTGGACGCCATGGCGGCCGGCGGCGGCCCCGGCTCCGCTCTGCCCCGCGCAGCGAGAGCTGTGCCGGCGGGAGCTACGGGCTCATGGAGGCGGCAGGCCGGGCCCGGACGGAGAAGAGCGGCAGGCGGAGGAGGAGGAGGAGGAAGAGGAGCAGGAGGAGGAGGGCCGGGAGGCGGCGGGGCGGGCGGGAGCCGGGGCCGAGCAGCGCTGCCTAGCTCAGCGGCCGGCCCGGGGAAGAGGAGAAGGAGGAGGCAGCGCCGCTCCCTCCCCGCCCGCACGGCGCCTGTCGCACATTTTGCCTGTCATCGAGGTCGCAAAGAGGCGCTTTGCGGCCGCCACGTGACCGCCTCCTGTCAAGCGCTCGCGGAGCGGAGGAGGAGGGAGCGGGGGAGGCGGTGCCTTTCTGGCGCTGATCGCGCGTTCCCGCTGAAAGAAGGAGCGCGCGCCGCGCTCGCGCCTCCTTCCCGCCCAGCGCGCCTGAGAGAGCGTGAGGCCGCCCCGCCCCGCGCCTAGGCCAGGCCTGAGGGGCGCCCCGCCTCGCCGCGGGGCTCCTGGGGGGAGCCGTCTCCTCAGGGCCGCCCCCCGCCCCGAGGCCGGCTGAGGGCGGCCCCGCGGCCCGGGGAGCGGCCTAACGAGAAATAACGGCGGGCGCCCAACGGCGTCGCCTGCAGCCCGCGCTCGCCCCGGCGCCGTGAGAGGCGGCTGCGCGGCGTAGCGCGGCCGAATCCCGGTTTTCCTGTCTGCCCTCACAGCCCGGTGCCCTCACAGCCCCGCGTCAAGCACGAACGCTGCGCTCAGCGATCGCTGCGGCCGGCGCGACGTGCCCGCCGTCTCTCGGGTCACGGGCGGGCCGAGCGCCCTGCTCGCGGTGGCGGCCCGTGGAGCTCCGTCACGCCATCTCGGAACCGAACTCCTTCCCCAGCTCTAAGAAAGAGAATCCTTTATTGTTTTTTCTATTCGCGTCGGCGGGAGCCGCTGCCCGACGAGTTTTCATATTCTGCTCGATGGCAAATAGCAGAGCGAAGAGCGGGGAAGGAGAGCGGCCGCGGGTCCTGTCTGTGTGGGGGGAGAGCGAGGGAACCGGCGCAGTGGGACGGCAGGGCTGCGAGCCGCCCCGGGAGCGCCGCTGGGCGCCTTCGGGACGCGTCCGGTGCTCCTCGTTGGCTGCAAAACTACGCAGAGCTTCGAGGTGGATGCAAGCCGTGCTAAAACACCACTCGGGATGGAAAGGCAGGGGGTCAGAAAAGCTGTCCCCGAGAAAAGAAAAGTTAGATGTTACATTTTACCTGCTTTAGTTTAAGCTGGCGAGGTTTCCCGAGAGGTTTCTTACTGTTCTTACGGCTCACAGCCGTTCGACCAGCGCTGCCCTCACGGCGCTGTCGTCGGTACCGGGAGTGATGCGGTGCCCGTGGCAGACCGGGCTGAGCTACAAACACATCCACCCCCGCATTACTAGAGAGTAACTGTAACGAGGGCTGAAAGGCGAGGTTTGGAAACTGGACCGGAGCCAGTTCATTCCTGGCACCGATTTGTGTTCTAGGTGTGCTGTCAAGATAAGTTACGCCGTGTTCACGTCTATCACAGGATTATTTTAAATAATGATATCTTCGCTGGATCAAGACGGGAAGGATTTGATCCAGAATGTGAAGGAGAGGCGAGCGGCCCGACGTGCCCCGGCTGGGGAAGCTCAGGTGAGATTCACAGCGAAGCTTTCCGTTTTCGCAGCTCCACACTCCGAGGTGCCCTCGGACAGCGCCGCAGAACACGGCCGGCTCTGTCCCTGCAGCCCTCCGGAGGGGGTTTTGCTGCCCATCGGGGCAATTCCCTCTATCTGACGGTATCATTACCACCGCCGAAAGGAAATGATTGCGATGGGGACACTTCTTTCTGGGAAGATTGTTGGATGGATGTCTGCCCGCCTGTTGTGGCCAGGCAGTGTCACTTGCAGGAGGCCTGCAGCATCCCCGCCGTACTTCATTATTTTTGCTGTGTGATGTGATTAACAGAACACAGGGGCTTGCTTTGTAGCTGTAAAAGCAAGTAGTAGGGGGCTGCTGCAAGGCCCCATGTCCTGTTCTGCAGTACATCTGCACAGCGAACAGCACCAAACCCGGGGATCTGGGGCACTGATCAGTCACAAAATTGGTCTTATTGAAGTCGCCTGACACCAAATCCGAAGAGCTGCATGTTATTTCATTTTCATGCAGAAAAGCGACTGGACTTGAATATACAGGTGTCATATAAATATATAGCTACGTATCTCTAGAGTTATCTCTGAGGGAAATTACAATTCATACTTCTGTTAACAGTGTTGCCTGCGCTGTTGCTTCTGACAGAGAACTGTCATAGCAAGGCCCTTAAATACATTTTCTTTTCCCCTCGTTTCGTGGCTGTGGACATCCGATAGCCGGAGCACGGCGTTTCCCTGCTTCAAGCGTGCTCACCTCACTACCTTTCGCCTTTCTGCACTCACGAACGAGGGGCGGTTGGGGGATCCCAGCAGAAAAGCCGCGCAGCCGGGCTGTAAGAGAGAGGCAGCGATCGCCGCGCGCCCTCCCGACACCTCGGGGCCCACCGTGTCTCCTATCGGAGGCGCCGGCCGTCCCCGCCGGGGTGCCGCGGTGCGCCCGGCAGCTCCCCGGTGCAGATCGTCTCCGGGCCGCCTCCCGCGCGGGGCCGTTCCAGCCAACGTCTCCGCGGTGAGAAGAGGCGGGCGGGGTGCTGACGGACCCCGCCACAGGGAGCCGCGGCGTTGCTCCTTACCTCCCGCGGGGCTCTTTTGGGCGGAATTCAGCCTCCCCGTGCTTCCTGAAACGTAAAGCAACGAGAGCAGCGTAGGGCACGGAGCGCCACTGTCAGAAGGGCGCTGCCATCTCCACGCTGCGCCGCCGCCGCTCCGCGGCCCTCTTGCGGGAAGAGAGAATCCCTCGCGTCTTCTCGGCGCCCATTCCCCCCCAAAATGGTAGTTTCGAATCCATCGCGAGCGGCGGAAAGTCGAAAAGCCGACGCTGTGAGCCGCCTCCCGCAGCGCTGGGACGGCTTCTCCCCGGCCCCGGGTCGCTCCCCGGGCAGGTGCCCGCAGCCGCCGGGCACGGCGTCCACAGAACTCAAACGGCCGATAGACGCCTTCTTTTTATTTTTCCTTTTCCCTTTCCCTTTTCCCTCCCCCTGTCCCGGCCGCGCGATGGCCGCGGGGAGCGGCGGGGCCGTAGGGGCGGGGCGGGCGCTGCAGGCCTTCCTGCCGGCCGAGCTGCAACTCCGCCGCGCCTCCTTAAATCTCTGCCGTTAAAATGTGGGCGGGTGTTTCAACTCAAAAAGCGCTCAAATTTTTTTTCTTTTCAAAAAAAGCTGATGAGGTTAAAA